AACATATATATATATATATATATATATATATATATATATATATATATATATATATATATATATATATATATATATAATTTATATTTATATAACAGATTTTTTGCGTAGTCACGTTCAATGAACTACATACTACCTGTGCGTTTCTTTTTTTTAAGAGTGTAATTCTCGGTAACTGCTCATAATAAACTGTGAGTAAATAAAATCAGATATATTTACCTATCGGGTGAATTTTATGATAATCTGTACAACGTGGTATTTGTTAACTGACCGGAGGAGGTCATATAATACAAATGCTTGTCTATGATTTTAAAAGGAAGTGTGAGTGGATGTTCTGTTTGACAAATCTAACAAATGCTTAAGATAGGTAGAAACGCGTCAGGAGGTAAGTTTTCCACAAGTTTTGCGTTAGTTGTTGAGATAGTTGTAATGATCCGGAGTTACCTCCCCTTATCTTACATTCGACATCAGGCGTGAGGTCGATAATATGCTGTATTCAATGCTAAAGGTCGCAAAATTAATGACTTCTTTGTCGGATTCGATGCATCCGCTCCGATTTTAAAAACAAATTGTTTCCACCATTAATGACACGTGTACAGTATTGTAGACGTCACGGTCACCGCATTATGGCGTGATATGGAGGTGACGTCAGACACTGCCACAGTTGTCGCCATTATTCATTTGATGAAAGACAGCGGCTCCCTATATGTAACCCATTCCCCACAATATAGCTTTGAAATGATGGATAATAAGGAAATTATTACACTCTCATGAGTGTCATACAGGTTTTACGAAACTCGATTCAGAAGTCATATCTTTACAAATCAGTATATTCTGCAATTTATGTTTTTATTTGCTATTCAGTACTATATGTTTTAACTGTCTCTCCCAAACAAATGAGTGGCTCTGTACATTACAATCTGCCACGAGAATAGAATAGAGTAGACTTAATAACAGTGTCTTCTACTTTCAGTTCACTGACCACGAAGAGCGGATACGGATCGTGAAGATGTGCCAGAAGGGTGTGACACCTCTACAGAGTGAGTGAGTGAGTTAGGTTTAACGCCGCTTTTAACAGTATTACAGTTATATCACGGCGTGTCAGCTTAATGTGGGAGGAAAGCCCGAAGTGATGCAGGTCTCAGACGTTTACCACTTCGGTGAAACCCACGAGCACGGGTATGGTGCTGACAAACCTAGAAACATAATCGGGGCGAACCGGGATTCGAACCCATAATAATAGGTTTCTGGCGTGCCCAAGGGACGCAACTCTGCACAGCGAATCGAAACTTAAACTTACACTTACACTTACACACATCAGAGATTAATTGCTTTTTTATAACGTCTTCATAACAGATCCCATATGAGATAATCAAAGCGATCTTTATGTCATCATTATGCATTCTATCATTATTTTAGTGGATACTCGATTCTGATTGGCTATTTTCTCTGCAGCTTTACCGTCTTTGAATTTGAACTAAACACAAACGATCTTATATATCACCTACTTCGGTTGGAGATTTGAAACAATGATAACACTAAAGCAAAGCAGATAATCCGTATCAAGTTAACGACGGGATATTGTTTTTCCTGTGACAAGAGATTAAAACAAACCATAGGGCAAAATAAAGCCAAAACCTTAAATTCATACTTCTTGAAGACTTTGCGCCAAGTCGTACTTATAAAGACGAGCGCGCTGTGACGTGACATTCCACGCTTACATAGGATGACGTTATTGCGTAGGACTTGTGCGACGTCATAATGGCAGCTAAGATGTCTCAATGGAGTATCCGATACTTGAATCCAACTTGGCTTGAGGGGTGTATAATTACACCTTCTACCTACGACCACATTATGCTAAGCTGAGTTATCACTTAAACGTCTACTGTAGTCTTTTGATAAAAGATAAATTAAATCTAAACTGGGTTATATAAACTATTCGTCATAAAATAACTGGTACTAAAACATCTGACACGCAATGTTGGGGATTGTTCTTAGCCTAACATTTCAGAATAGAAAATGAGGAAGAGGGGTTGAAAACCAAGATATGTTTGATCTTTTCTATAATCAATTTAGTTTAAAACAAGGGGGGGGGGGGGGGGGGGCAAAGCATATGCACCGCCAACTCGTTGTCAACAGATATTTTCCAAATCTTTGCATGTTCTTTATCAAGGTGCTCTTGGTGCATTTCGCGATGTAAAACCCGTTTTATCACAACAAAGATCTTGATTATCGATCAGATCGTCTTGACTTGCCGTGGAATCTGATTGGTCCAAAGGAGAGGCTGAGAAGGGACATAACTGGTAATAGCCACTGGTGGCGATACGATCGAGCCCAGGAATTCCAGCCTGGTTCGGTAAGGTTGGAAACTGGTCTTTTATAGTCGTTTCGATTCGTTTGTTGTTTTACACCGCACTCAGCAATATTCCAGCTATATGACGGCGGTCTGTAAATAATCAAGTCTGGACCAGACAACCCAGTGATTAATATCATGAGCATCGATCCAAGCAATTGGGACCGAAGACATGGTTCAACCAAGTCAGCTAGCCTGACCGCCCGATCCTGTTAGTCGCCCCTTACGACAAGCATAGTCGCCTTTTACGGCAAGCATAGGTTGCTGAAGACCTATTCTACCCCGGATCTTCACGGGTCGACTTTTATAGTCAGTTAACTTCTTTACCTCGCGAAGATGGCATCAGCCATGCTGTGTAGTAGTTTCCACAAAAAAACACCCTGGAAATTGCAAGGCACGAGAACGTAGGTTCAAACCATTTATTCATGTAAAGATTAAGAGAGGAGACATTAAAGTAGGAACGACTTTCTACTGGGACAATGACTTGCTTATTGACTAGACTGTGTTAAAAATCTAATGATGCTTATGATATTTAGATTCATAATTGACATGTGTGATAGTTTTGCCAAGCATGTTACCTTCTATAGATGCTTTAAGATGGCGTGTAATGCCAACAGACAATAGATGTATTACATCAGGACAGTATCCATGAGTGGGTGAGTATGGTTTTACGCCGCTTTTAGCAATATTCCAGCAATATCACGGCGGGGGACACCAGAAATGGGCTTCACACATTGTACCCATGTCGGGAATCGAACCAGGGCCTTCGGCGTGACGAGCAAACGCTTTAACCACTAGGCTACCCGACCGCCCCAGGACAGTATCAAGACCAAAGGCTTCCTGCCCGCGTGAAGACCCCGGTCAGAATTGGTCTTCAGCAACCCATGTTTGTCGTAACAGGCGACTAACGGGATTGGCTCGATGAATTGGTTGACGCATACAATAGTATCCCAATAACGTATGTCTATGCTCATGATATCAGTCACTGGCTTTTCTGGTCGATTATTTTACAGACAGCTTTAATATATCTGATTTTTATGAGACCGGCTGCTGTATCTATCAAAGGAAAATGAGAAAAAGAAATATTCTAAACAATCTTGTATTTAATGTGTAAACACACGCACTGTGAAATATTATCATACGATTGACACTTAAACGACATAGACTTGCTTTTACACAAAGATCAACATGTACTTCCTGTCCTATGTAAGAATCATTGTTCTACGATGCCATTACCTCAAAGTTTCTTTGTAACTATAGTTGTCCTGGTAAATATTTATAAACTTAATACATACTGAGATCGGGATCCATTTCGTCAAGCCGGTTCGAAAGTTTTATTTGCGATAAAGAATACTTATCAAGGAAACAATGTAATCGCAGAGAAAGATTCACTCGGCTCAGCACAATAGAACCTTTGTCAGCACTGGCGTGCACGTGAATATTTCATGATACAACACAACCTTGCGGCAGTCGTGAACCTTAATTTCTTTTTGAAATTGTTTCCGTTTGCCCTTGTCTGCAAATCAAAGTGTATATCTAATTTCTGTTAAGCCCGATGTACTATGTCTTCAAGAACAGTCATGTTATGCCATGTTTAATGGTGGCTAACATGAGACAAGACATGGTTATTCAATGGTGATGTTTTGATACGGGTATCATAGTTGCGTTTTGGGCCTTACGTTTGTAGTGTTTCGGCGACCGTTTTCAAACTAGTATAGTGACGTTTTGATAACGTTTGTAAATATTTGGCCAAATCCGATTTTCAAGTTTATACTTAATTTGTCCAGCGATTTATATGCGGCATATCTCGCGTTACCCTGTTCACAATGAACTCATGTAATATGACTTGCTATCCGATGTTTTATGCGTGTCAAGTTAGTGGAAAAAGCGAAATCGATCAGAGTGGGAAAGGTCAAGGTGATTTCCAGGGTTCAATCCCACTTAACCAACCAATCAGAGAGCACACACTCCCATTCATTTTACAGTGATTTAAGCAACGGAGAAGTCATGATAATCTTTTGATTCTGAAAGTAGAATCGACGAGCCCCATAACCATGTTATGGTTGATATACATTTTGTCTATCATTTACCGAAATGGCATATAGTTGCGTCAGTTTAACTTGTTAAAATGCACATTCAGAATGGCCAGTAAATGTCTGGCGCACAACGAATTAACTGCACCAACAATACCGTTGGGTCAACGCAATGGTCTAAAACAGGGGAATGTTTGTGTGAGCTCATCGCCAGTTATTGTCATCAATACAGCTGAGTGAGTGAGTGAGTGAGTATGGTTGTACGCCGCTTTTAGCAATATTCCAGCAATATCACGGCGGGGGACACCAGAAATAGGCTTCACACATTGTACCTATGTCGGGAATCGAACCCGGGTCTTCGGCGTGACGAGCGAACGCTTTAACCACCAGGCTACCCGACCGCCCTCTCAATACAGCGGAGCCAATGCAGTTGACCGAATGACTTCAAGATACAATATTTTTTATAGCGGTAGATCACAGTTATCTGGCATGTTTGGTTCTGAAACACTATTTTAGATGGGTACCCGCACTTCTAGTTGATTAAGATACTCTTAACTTCTCGGTCGAACAGGGAGTGAGTGAGTATGGTCGAACGCCGCTTTTAGCAATGTTCCAGCAGTATCACGGCGGGTGACACCAGAAATGGGCTTCACACATTGTACCCATATTGGGAATCGAACCCGGGTCTTCGGCGTGACGAGCGAACGCTCTAACCGCTAGGCTACCCGACCGCCCCCGAACAGACTAGTGCGAACGAAACAGTGTATGGACTTTAACACTTGTGTGACATAGGATCAATTAATGTTTACAAAATATCGTTAAGTTTACATAAGTGCTTCACTGACATGAACAATCAGACTTATGTACGGATCGATAACCGAATAAATAACACAATGTATTCCTTCTTTAGGCATCCCTCAGACACATCTCACCAGTGAGGCACTCGATTCGGGAAGTTCTAGAAAACAAAATAATAAAACAGCAAATGATAAAAAGAGGAAGATAAAATTGATTTGTTTGTTCTATACAGTTATATCGATGAGCGTTTTATAAAAAAAGATAAAGGTTTCAGAATAATATCCAATAAAGTTGTCCAATAAACAATTATAAAATCCTGAATAGGTAGACAAATGTAACTACCTATAGGTAGACAAATATAACTACCTCTGTGTAGCTCTCTTTACTTATCTATATAGCAATATATGGACATCACATATCGATAGTGTACAGTACATTCACCCTGTGCACTCAAAAGAACCCACTCATCCGATGGTAGATGGCAAGATGATGGAAACACGAATACGTTCATGCACTCGAAACACAATTGTCAAGACGGGTGTTGTCAGTCTGGGCAAGTGACTTAGTTCAAATGTGCCTCTGTTATCCCAGCAGGGAATGGGTACCCGATATGTGAGGTGGATGTAAAAATGTCCTAGCGCCCGTAGGCAGCTTGGGTTGTATACTCCCCATGGAGTTTCGAATGATAACTGGTTTGGGAACAAATAAACCGCCTTTGAGCAGATACTAGTACCTGGATAAGTGCGGCATATAAATGTATAATAGATACACAAAAATGATTTTCATAATATATCAAGCGAATATTTAGATATATCTGATCGTCTGACCTCTGACCGGCCGTATCAAAAGTTGATTCGATATATATAGACAAGTCTCGTTAATCCGACAATCAGCTTTATCCGACACTAATGGTGGAAACCGATTAAATCAGTCCCATTTAGACCCGTTAATCCGACAGTCTCGCACTCCGACTCCGACACACCTAATTTGCAACGAATTGCTGAAATCACTCATTTATCAGTCTCGTTAATCCGACACTCGTTAATCCGACAATCAGCTTTATCCGATACTAATGGTGGAAACCGATTAAATCAGATATTTAGACCCGTTAATCCGACAGTCTCGCACTCCGACACAGTGATCAGCGTACTCCGTGGTCATCTGCCCGCGAGTACACAGCCCCGTGTTTTGATGAGAGACGAATCGGCGAGTAACTGCATATTTCAACGGCTGCAGGGATAAACTTGCTTAACAATAAATAAATATAAATATATGTATATAAAAAGATCCAAATTAAAATAAAAGTATATTAAGGAGTCATTTCAATCAATCTGTCTAAAATTCAGTCTGATACTCTCAGGCAATATGTAAATTCAGTCAGTATGTACATTGCATGAGTGAGTGAGACAATATGCAAATTGACAGACATTTTCAGTCAGTATACATATTACCTGATTTAAGCATTGACTGTAACATAAACAATGCGTACTAGATTCGGCCAAATTGGCAGTGGATACTTTGATTTTCACGTTGATTACTCAACATATATTTTTGTGATCAATGAACAATAAAAAGGAGGAACAATCTCGTGACACAGAAGCATTGTATAATACATTTCACATCTATTACAACGTCCAGGTCCCGTGAAGATTCCGGGTTAGAATTGGTCTTCAGCAACCAATGCTTTTCGTAAGAGGCTAGTAACAGGATCAGGTGTCAGGCTCTCTGACTTGGTTGATGCATGTCATCTGTCCCAATTGCGTGGATCGATGCTCATGATGTCAATAACTGGGTTGACTGGTCAAGATTCGATTATTTACAGACCGCCGTCATATAGCTGGAATATTGCTGAGTACGGCGTTAAACAACAAACAAACAACGTCCATACCAAAAGGGAGCACAGGAAATACAGTGCTCAGCCCCTTAGAATATATCCGCTGTTTGACAGTCGGTTTAGATTTACGTGTTTATTATTGCCCTGAGTTTTACCTTCCGCCCTGTTCAGGTCTAGGAGCAGCTGATCCCCATTGGGAACGCACCCCCCACAGAATCCCCCACAGTCGAGCTTCACCACAGCACCCCCTTCTGTCCTATTCACCAGCGCCAGGGGAAGCCATCCAGTTGTGTACCAACCTTGCTGGAAACAAAAGATCACGATCAACGATCCTGGCATGGCTAAGGGACGAAACTCGAATCTATCATTTCATACGTCAGGACCACTCACGATCCCCGAACGAATAAAAGCGACAAAACCCTTTCCATATTCATAAGAAACATCTGTCAAAAGCAGAGTCGATTGTACGATTCCGACTTTATCATAAGAATGTGTTTATGAATCACTATCAAATAGTGATGATACCAGGTTTCGCGAAAAGGTGAACGCATCCTGCCCCAACGGTGCCACCCGTCACAAACACATGCAAAGGCAAGTCAATTATTCACCTGAAAAAAACAACAACAGGGGAACAAATGGTACATGCCAAAACAGGAAATTGCATCGGACATAATTTTTGTCACTGATAAGTCGAGTTTGGAAATGGCATCCACATGTGTTCCATAAAATGTTTCGAAAGTGTCAAGGTCATTCTGGGCCTCCGTAAAGGTCTTGACTGTTTTAACCTTGATCAAACAACTTCTTTGAAATTTTGCTGGAAACAGCATGTTCGATTGTACAGGAATATTTGTTCGGCATAAAGGGAAAGTTGATTATCAGAAAGTTGAAGTCATCCCTCTTGTCATATAGTCTTGAGGAGAGTGTTTTGTCACTCTGAATCTTTTTGCATAGATCTCAATATGAAACAGATGAGACGGTCTCAATGGTCTCGGGGCGGTCGGGTAGCCTAGTGGTTAAAGCGTCCGCTCGTCACGCCGAAGACCCTGGTTCGATTCCCGACATGGGTACAATGTGTGAAGCCCATTTCTGGTGTCCCCCGCCGTGATATTGCTGGAATATTGCTAAAAGCGGCGTAAAACCATACTCACTCACTCACTCACTCAATGGTCTCCTTTGTTTCTAGTTCAGGTGGGTAAATCAGCGGAAGGGAAATGGCTATTTGATGGTTATTGAACGGTATCAGATCATCGATATACTCATGGACGGATACAGAAGGAGTGGGGGGTGGGGTGGGGGTAGAGTAATAATAATAGAGTAAATACGGTAATAAAAAGTGGATACGAATAGTTATTAGTTATTACCGTATTTACTCTATTAAATGCCGGTTTCAAGCAACCGGGTAGTTTTTATGCACTGAATTCTTCTCATCATTATCTTTGTTATTAAACGCTGAGGGTAAAGGTGAGGTGAAATGGGGTTTAACGTCGCGTCCAAGATACGAATAGTATTTCACCTTTTCACTGACGACAAACCCGGTGTGTCGGAGGTCAATGAGGAAGTGACCTTTAAGGCCGCAAGCGCTCAGAACGCCGTTGTCATGTTCGGAGTAACAGTCGTACGACTTGCCGTAGAGGACGTGTGGACCAACAACGTCGGCAAACGTCGTGTCCTCAATGTCAACGGCGAGGGTCTGAAATAATCGTCAAGGTCACAATCATTAATTCAAACACAAACTGGTTATAGATAGTTGTGAGTATGTATACAGAGGTTATCACGCGAGTGTGTTTGGGGATTATAAATATCCTGTATTAGGGAAAAAAACGTTGTATTTAGAGAACATATTTCGGCCAAATCCAACTGTTTTAATTTGTGGAAAAGATTCCAAGCCGCAGAGGTCTACAAGCACAGATATGGAAACTGATCCCGCCTGGCTAGTGCCCTCGCAAAACTGTTCCGCAGTTTATATTTCCAAAGTTGCCAAAACTTTTAAAATGCCTCCGCTATCAGTTACAGTTAGACACTGATTTTATAGTGTATTTTAGACTATTCTTTTGATAATTATAGCAATTATCCCAGTAGTTTCTCCAGATTCCCGATGGTTAATTCTGACTCGATCGCCGAATGACAAGGGCGATGCCATGTTTGTTTATAAACACTGAAAGTAGCATTCGTGACCAATTCGTGTTATTACGGAACAGGCCGAATAGCGACTCGTGCCACTCTCATGGCCATTTTTGCGACCGGGTTCCGTCTTAGCGCAAACGGGCATACCTAAAACAATTGTCATCTCGTTTCGTAATGGTTCACATACTATTTCCCCATGTATTATATATATTTCAGATGCAATTTAAAGCACATTGGGACGTGCGGGATTATACAGTATGACTGAACACATTTAACTGTGTCTTGGGTATATTTTTAGATGCAAGACATTGTAAAATCAAAAATTATTTCTGAGGGATTCTTTGACGAAGAACTTGAACGCGCATTCTGATTGGTTTGTCGTATTTTCGCACATAACATTCATCGATACGGGGACGAGTCTTCTTGCAGGTTATGGAAAGGCGCCATTCGTCACCACTCGCCCTTTTCCGTAACCTGCAAGATGACTCGTCCCCCTATCGATGAATGTTATGTGCGAAAATACGACAAATCAATCAGAATGCGCGTATGATTTCAAGTTCTAGGTCAAAGAATCCTCAGAAATAATTTTTGATTTTACATATGTCTTGCATCTAAAAATATACCCACGACACAGTTAAATGTGTTCAATCATACTGTATAATTCCGATGTGCTTTAAATTGCATCTGAAATATAATATAATGTATGGGGAAATATAATTATGTGAACTATTACGCAACGAGTTGACAATTGTTTTAGGTATGCCCGTTTGCGCTAAGACGGAACCCGGTCGCAAAAATGGCCACGAGCGGGGCACGAGTCGCTATTCGGCTTGTCCCGGAATAACACGAGTTGGTCACGAATGGGAAAGGGGCGAGTGGTGACGAATGTGAAAGTAGTCCCTACTTGACCTTTGATATTTGCATCTCTATCCGCATATGGCCACAACAGATATCGTTTTTATTCGTTGGCTTTATCCTGCCGAGAAACCTACCCATTATATGATAAAGCATGATACCCACATTTCAAATGACCGTTAATGCTTTTAAAGATTGATTTAATGAATGAGCTTTTCAGCGAAGGGATCAATAGTATAGTTCGACCCGGAACAGGCAAACGATGACCAATGGTGGAGCATCCATCAATCGTAAACAGTGGTTGGCGTAATCTACATTGTCTCACAAGGTCAAGGAAGACGTCACACAATCAACGAAGTGACCGATGTATCCAATGAAATCTTTTAGTATCGAAAAAGGTCGAAAAGGTCGGCCATTTCGAAATAAAACCATGGGACCAATGGATTTCTTAACTTTTTAGAATAGATACTTTATGAGTGAGTGAGTGAGTATGGTTTTACGCCGCTATTAGCAATATTCCAGCAATATCACGGCGGGGGACACCAGAAATGGGCTTCACCCATTGTACCCATGTCGGGAATCGAACCCGGGTCTTCGGCGTGACGAGCAAACGCTTTAACCATTAGGCTACCCGTCCGCCCAGATACTTTCTGAGCACACGCAAAACCTTCAGCAAAAATTCGAGCAAAGTACAGCAGCCCTTCACATTGCGTCATGAGGAGATGTCGGATTATGGAGGTACTGCTTACAACATGGTTAAATTATCACTTCTCCCTATACACTAGTGGATATAGAGCCGAGAGAGTGGAAGGTCGGTGGGTCGATCCCCTGGCCGCGTCATACCAAAATACGTTAAGGTGATATTTGTTGTTACCATGCCTGATGCTTGGCAAAAGGACAACGAGGACTGATCGTACCACAGCGTGTCAGCTCGATGTGGAGGAAAGGAGTCAGTGTATTGAGTCTGAGTGGGGTATCCATGTTAAACTGAGGCGCGGCATTTCAGTCCGGACTTGTACAAGCAGCAACACACACACGTGCATGAACGTAACTATATATAAGTGCAATAATGCTGAAAGCAGCGGCGACGTTAAACCAAATTTCACCTCATACAGACTGATACACATATTTCAGCACCAACCATATACCACCACTGTTCAAAATGTGTGATCACTTACTGTTTCGACACGTGAATATCCGGGTTCATGAACCCATAATTGTAGGAGGTGATCGCGTGGTCAGGCTCGCTGACCTGGTTGATGCATGGCATCGTATCCCAATAGCGTAGATCGATGCTCATGATCTGGATAATCTGATCCAGACTCGATAAATTACAGACCGCCGTCATCTTGATGGAGGGGCGGTCGGGTAGCCTAGTGGTTAAAGCGTTCGCTCGTCACGCCGAAGACCCGGGTTCGATTCCCGACATGGGTACAATGTGTGAAGCCCATTTCTGGTGTCCCCCGCCGTGATATTGCTGGAATATTGCTAAAAGCGGCGTAAAACCATACTCACTCACTCACTCATCTTGATGGAGTATTGCTGAGTGTGGCGTAAAGCAAAAAACAAACAAACAAACAAACAAAACTTACTCTTTCGTTCAGTCTTATTTTATGGTATGTAGTCTCTCCCCGTTCACCATGAATATATTCTCCATTACACTTGTGGTTTCTGATGTTTGGCTGCACGCCAACATTCGGCGTTGACAAAGTAAGGAACGCCTGGGGCACAGTCTGGTTCATTCCGCGACAGAACAACCGCCTAGGGGCGCCATCGAATTGTTCCAGAAATATCCAGTATTCGCCATCTTCTTCATTTCCGGTACAAAGTTTCACGTCTGCGCATGACGTCGGTCGACGTACTGCAAATAAATGACGTACTGAGTTGTTGAAGTAAACAGAAAACGGAAGTCAATGATGCAATGTCCACAACGCCAGTTTTTTAAACAACGCTCAAGATTGTCATGACATAATCCTACTCATCTTCCCGAGGCAAGAGAGTTAACTGACTTTAAAAGTCCAGTTCCACCCTTGCCGAACTAGGCTGGAATTCCTGGGCTCGATCGTTGCGCCACCAGTGGCTATTACCAATTATGTCCCTTCTAAGCCTCTCCTATGGACCAATCAGATTCCACCTCTCGTATCACTTGCGTTTGCTTCACACAAAATGGTGGCGCCCAGTCAGGACGATCTGATCGATAATCAAGATCTATATTGTGATAAAACGGGTCTTACATCGAGAAATGCATCAAATCACGTGAGCACCTTGATTAAAAACATGAAAGGATTTGGAAAATATTTGCTGACAACGAATTGGCGATGCACATGCTTTGCAAATCCTGCAATCGATCGAAATCTGCACGACAGTTTACGAACCGGATTTTGATTTCGGTGCGCGATTTTGATTGGACTATGCATAGACTCGTTAGTCCAGACAAAACGTAACTCCATAATACCAGCCTAGTTGGGCAAGGGTGGAAACTGGACTTTTATAGTCAGTTAACTCCTTTGCCTCGGGAAGATGCACGTTTCCTGATGCCGCACTCACCAATGTCACAGCAACTTAACGACGGCCTGTAAATAATCGAGTCTGGACCAGGCAATCCATGAACATCGATCTACGCAATTGGATGGTATACGATGACATGCATCAACCAAGTCAGCGAGCCTGACCACCCGATCCCGTTAGACGCATTTTACGAGAAGCATAGGTTCCTGGAGACCAATTCTAACCCGGATCTTCACCTAAACTATTATAGCACTGAGACTATTAGGCCAGTTGCTACAGATATAATTTTGCTTCGAATTTTTGTATTTACATAATACAAAACGTTGGTCTGACATGCGTGTGAGTGTGTGAGTGAGTTAAAATTTGAAATCACTTCGGCAGTATTCCAGCCATATCACGATATGCATGTGTGCGTGTGCGTGTGCGTGTGCGTGTGCGTGTGCGTGTGCGTGTGCGTGTGCGATACAAACACTATTTACAATCCAGTACTAAACAACACACAAACTGCTTGATGTTTTGTATTTTTATTTTTCGTCCGTGGCTGATTACTGACAGGTATTGTAAAGTGACATTTGGAGACACAAAGTCACACTTGGCTACAATAACCCGTGAGCCTTGACTCAGAGTTCTGCTTGCATTGTCATTGTAATTAGTTGGATATTCATTATGAATAAGTATCTTGTGTTTAAATCAATTTGTTAAAAAAATACTATGTGAGACGCCAGATACCTTTATCATCTAAACGACATGTGCGTTGTACTGGCAAGTTTGCATTGCTGTTACAGACATCAAACAGCGAACAGTGGTGATTTTCACAAACACCAAGCAGTCTCTGAAAAAAAAAGACAAAACGTCATTAAAAACAACATAAAGTCCAAAGATTGCAGGTCAAAGTTATTACATATTATCTATAATATTATATTGATCTTCTCACTGATGACGAAGTGGGAGTCATGGCTACCGATGAGGACTGAACCTGTATCGCAACATTAACCCGGATTTGCTTTTTTTAACGAGGACTACAGTTGGGATGAAAAACATGTGTCAGTGTACATACCGAAATTAGGTAACCACTAAGTTTTTACTTTGCAACAGACAATTGTGGGGGGAAAAGGCCTCAGCGAACAAAATAAACTATAGGATGAAACAAAGAAAAACAACAAAACTTTAGAAAGAGACAATAAAACAGAAACAAAAACATCAAACACACAAAAGAAAAAAACACAAAACAACAAAAACTACAGAAAACAAACAAACAAACAAACAAACAAACAAACTAACAAACAAAAAACCCATAATGCACAAATGCATATAAAAGCATGAATGAGCTAATGGGCTCAGTAAACAAAACGGGCGAAATCAATCTCATTAAAATACGATCTTAGTTCTCGCTATCGCTAAACAAAGATCTGAGGACACCCCATTACGACCTTTCATCCGACCAGAGACCATATCGGTATATGGTCTCTGATCCGACCAATCAAAGCGTCGCTTACCAGATCATGAAAGTGACAGTCGGAATGGCTTTTCTAATTATGCAACCTCGGACATGTTAACACGAGGTATTCCGAACGACAGTTACGGCCCGTTCGACTGTTTCCGCCAAAATTATCGTCTATCTCTCGCTTCCGTGGGATAAACATTTGAACGGAGGAGGCTTTGCACAGTACGTGGGAAGCACTGCCATACAATTTCAACCAGATATTAGACATTCCGGAATGTTCGTTTGTTCAGTTTTCAAAATTTGAATCGAGAACTGTGTCAACATATCTTTCAAGCGTAGTCTGAAATGGAAGTCGCCAGGTTGAAATGAGTGCCTTTAAGCTCGAGACATCTGCTTTCTAATTGGCTGATGTCGACTTCTCGTTTGTCGTTTCAGTGGTCGGTCAAAGTTCGCGAAAGGTCGTTCTGACGTGACCCGTAATGGGATGTCCTCAGATCTTTGTTTAGCGGCAGCGAGAACTTAGATCTGATTTTAATGAGATTGGGTCTAAATAGACAAACAATAATTGATACAGTGTCATGCATAAAATGTTATACAGCTCTTTATTTGATGACACCACTGCGGTACTTTCTGGTAGACCTGTGAAGATCCGGGTTAGAATAGATCTTCAGCAACCCATGCTAGCCATAAAAGGCGACTATGCTTGTCGTAAAAGGCGTCTAACGGGATCGGGTGGTCAGGCTCGCTGACTTGGTTGATGCATGTCATCGTATCCCAATTGCGTGGATCGATGCTCATGATGTCAATCACTTGATTGTCTGGTCCAGACATGATTATTTTACTGACCGCCGTCATATAGCTGGAATATTGCTGAGCGCGGCGTTAAACAACAAACGAACAAACAAAACTTTCTGGTATTTTAGGTAATGTTTGTTCGCCGTTTAATAACACAATATTCCAGTTGTATGACGGTGGCCTGTCAAAAAAGTCTGGACCGGCCAAAACAGTGATTGATATTATGAGCAATGATCAACGCTATCAACAAATAAATAAACGCTACAAAACCCTTTCAAATCCATAAGAAATATCTTCTAAAAGCAGACTAAATTGTACGATTTCGACTGTGAACAGCAGGAGTTAATGAAGCACCATAACATTGTGATGACAGCAGGAGTTCGCACCAGTCACAAACACATGCAAAGGCAAGTGTTCATCTGAACAACCGAACCTGACCACCCGACCGAATGAGACGCTAGACGGTAACCATACGTTATTGTGACCATTTCTAGCCCGGATTACAAAACAGTACTTACCACAATAGCAAGCCAGCAAATAACAGCTAATAATACAGTAAATAACAGTTGACGACGTTTAAACTCAATGGTGGGTGAATGTTATTTATTGCCGCATCTGCAATATTACAGCTATATCACAGCGACCTGTAAGTAATCGTGTCCGAACCAGTGAGTGAACGTATGAACAACGATCCACGCCATTATGTCACGATGACACCCGTTCCTCATTCGTCGACCTACCAGAAGCATAAGGAACTAGGGACATATTTTCCCCCGGAATTCTCAAATTATGAGTAGAGATAAAATAATACAACTTCACTTGTGGTAGGGATGTGAAGTTGTTGGCGATCAATAAACCACATTTTATATATTGTATTGTTGTTTGATACCAGATAAACGTTTTTAGTGTTCTACAACATGTTTAAAAAATTAATATACTTCTGTGAAATGTTTCTGAATGTTCTACTGTCCTTAAGCGACAGGATTTGATATGGCATAAAGTTTGAATATCCAGTTACATCACGGCGTGTGAACTTATTGTGGGAGGAAAGCCCGAAGTGATGCAGGTCTCAGACGTTTATCACTTTGGCGAAAACCACGAGCATGGGTATGGTGCTGAAATATAATCGGTGCGAACTGGAATTCGAACCCATAACCATAGCGTGCACAAGGGACGCAACCCTGCACAGCATGTTTCGGCGCTTTAGACGACTGTGCCACCCGTGCCCCTATATATCTCACCTGTGACCAGCTGCCGATATCTGAGAAGACAAAAGACGAGTTGTTGACGAGTTGACTCCTCGTGGCGTCCTCGTTCAGGTGACACATATCGGACTGGGTGCTGAAGTTGATGGACTTGCATCTCTTCCGGTTCAAACAGTGGACAGCGCAGGTCATGATGCCGTTCGCCTGAAGTACCAGGAAGGTTGACCCCTTCAGCTGGACAGACCTCTCCAGGTGCTGGACATTGTCCAGGTTGGTACACGTGTAACCTTGACCGGACACAGATACGCCAAGACACACCCACAGCAGGCACAGGGAGGCGCGTGATGATCCAGAGGTCATCATACAGATGACCTAGACCCTCGCAAAATGGCGGCAATCAATAGTAAGGAAAATATGTCTAATGCTGTAAATGGCCACGCTCGTGGGTCCAGTCGTAATGGTCAATATATTAAACAGTTATATGTCCAGATGATGACACGGGATACTCAAAATGTTCAAAAGTATATTATACATTTCATATTAATATCATATCATATCAATATTAAAGGCCTGAATAACGTACTTTGTCGCTCGATTTATCTTTTCAGAGTTGCGTTCCTTATCCGTCCGGATCCACTCGTTGAATCCACGATTCCAAAGCCGCGTAAAACCCGACGCCCTCACAGCAGATTAAAGCGTGTATTCTAGAATAAAACAATTCCGCCAACTTTGATCGACTTTGGATGACCGAAAGTGACCCCTTTGTTTTGTGGTTGACTTATTTTTCGACGTGGTAGAATGTCAATGCAGTAGGATGGCAGATGTCCGTTCTTTATGCATATGTACCGACTCTGAAAGACAAACAACACCGAATTAACCCGACAATAAGTATGGGAGTGAGCTAAATTTTATGTCCTGTCGGCAATATTTCAGTCATATTGGGACAGAAATATGCTTGGCATTTGCATAACATACAACAAGTAATGAAAGAACAGAATAACAACCAGCAATTATGTTACATATTAGAGCATATAAAACTGTTTGGAGAACATTAAAACCAACGATTATTGAAACAGTATGCAATAAAACGTGTCACGGACGGCCATATGTAAGTTGCACCTTGTGTCCGATGCATTGTCTTCTGATAATAAAATATGATAATAAACTATGCGATATAAAAATCGAGCTATAGATGGGCAGCAACAACTGTGGCCCATCTTGCTAGGGACCACGGGAACGTTCGGTACTTCTTTATCCTTCGTGGTTCCCCAACAGGATTTATACCATACCCTTAGTTTCTTGCGGTTGTACAAGAAAATTTAGCCCGTAGCTAAAATTTCAAGTATACTACTGTATTCAACAATCGGCAGACTTTAACACACTTTAAACGGTCTTACATACCTCAGCAATAGATAAGGTGTTGTAGTGTCAAACGTTAAAGTGGCCAGTCGCCATCTCTCGTTGTTCTACCTTGTAGTTGCAGCGTCAGGAACAACCCCCTCCGCTCCGTCGCCAAGTCAACATAGAGAGCTAATTGTCGCACTTTGTCTCGGAAGACACTAGCCTCGGCTTGATCAATATGGCGTCATGTTGCATTGATAGTTTCTCTGGCTGTTTTCAATGACCCTGCAGAGTCAATATTAGAAAAAAAGATAAAGATGCAGCTTGGATAAAGTTGGCTGACCTGAAACGTGAATCTGAAGGCTTTCTGTTCGCTGTTCAGGACCAGTCACTTCCGAATTCGAGACCGTCAATGTGCGATTTTGCATAAAAATGTAAATATGAAATATAGATTATGCAATGAATTTAATGAGACTGCCCAACACATCTTCAGTGGATGTTTGTTTGTTTGTTGTTTAACGCCGCAATATTCCAGCTATATGACGGCGGTCTGTAAATAATCGAGTCTGGACCAGACAATCCAGTGATTGACATCATGAGCATCGATCCACGCAATTGGGATTGATGACATGTATCAACCAAGTCAGCGAGCCTGACCACCCGATCCCGTTAGTCGCCTTTTACGACAAGTATAGTACCCAGCAGTACAGAAACTCCTGCCACGCGGCGGCGGCATGGAAACAAACCCGACAATCAAGCAATGGACCAGAAATTCAGTCACACGATTGATAAAAATGATATGTTGATTTTGAAATAAGTCTGCTGTGTTCAAGTTGAGAGATTATGCTACTTATAAGTTTTGTTTGTTTGTTTAACGCCGCACTCCAGCTATATAATGGCGGTCACTAGACCGTGACAAGGGTAAATTCGAGAATCTGTGACAATGCTCATGATGTCAATCACTGGATTATCTGGTCCAGATTCGATTATTTACAGACCGCAGTCAAATAGCTGTAATATTGCTGAGTGCGGCGTTCAACAACAAACAAACAATCTTACGACAAGCATAGTTGTTTTTTTACGGCAAGCATGGGTTGCTGAAGACCTATTCTACCCCGGAATCTTCACGGGTCTTTTGTGGATGCATTACTCTGGCACTAACACAGTATCTTAAGCAACAAGCGACATGATGGCGTGACTCGATCCTTTTAATTCGCCATGCTTGTGGTTTTGACACAGAGGTCCATCCAATATGTAGAGGGCGTCATGGACAATGATCATTATAAAATTCTTTGGAATAGGCCCATATACAGCCTCAGAACTATCCAGGCCAACAAACCTGATCTTGGCTCGTGATTTAAAACATAACGCGGGACGCATAGAAACCACATGTACCCCTCGCGATACTGCTACAACTTAAAGTGTTTCTCCCTCGACAACGTATGCCCCAATTGTTGCGAAGAAAAAATGATTATGTAATCTGTTAAATGTATATCGTTGCATAAGTCGATTGAACTAATTATGAGATTTCTTTTCGTAGTTGTTCGTAATTATATCCAGAGACTTGAGTGCCTTAGGTAAATTGAAATTATATTGACGTCACTGTCATAGGTTGGTTTTTGTTTGTTGATTGTGCAAACCATCTTCCCGAGGCAAAGGAGTTAACTGACTATAAAAGTCCAGTTTCCACCCTTGCCGAATTGTCGCACTTTGTCTCGGAAGACACTAGCCTCGGCTTGATCAATATGGCGTCATGTTGCATTGATAGTTTCTCTGGCTGTTTTCAATGACCCTGCAGAGTCAATATTGGAAAAAAAGATAAAGATGCAGCTTGGATAAAGTTGGCTGACCTGAAACGTGAATCTGAAGGCTTTCTGTTCGCTGTTCAGGACCAGTCACTTCCGAATTCGAAACCGTCAATGTGCGATTTTGCATAAAAATGTAAATATGAAATATAGATTATGCAATGAATTTAATGAGACTGCCCAACACATCTTCAGTGGATGTTTGTTTGTTTGTTGTTTAACGCCGCAATATTCCAGCTATATGACGGCGGTCTGTAAATAATCGAGTCTGGACCAGACAATCCAGTGATTGACATCATGAGCATCGATCCACGCAATTGGGATTGATGACATGTATCAACCAAGTCAGCGAGCCTGACCACCCGATCCCGTTAGTCGCCTTTTACGACAAGTATAGTACCCAGCAGTACAGAAACTCCTGCCACGCGGCGGCGGCATGGAAACAAACCCGACAATCAAGCAATGGACCAGAAATTCAGTCACACGATTGATAAAAATGATATGTTGATTTTGAAATAAGTCTGCTGTGTTCAAGTTGAGAGATTATGCTACTTATAAGTTTTGTTTGTTTGTTTAACGCCGCACTCCAGCTATATAATGGCGGTCACTAGACCGTGACAAGGGTAAATTCGAGAATCTGTGACAATGCTCATGATGTCAATCACTGGATTATCTGGTCCAGATTCGATTATTTACAGACCGCAGTCAAATAGCTGTAATATTGCTGAGTGCGGCGTTCAACAACAAACAAACAATCTTACGACAAGCATAGTTGTTTTTTTTACGGCAAGCATGGGTTGCTGAAGACCTATTCTACCCCGGAATCTTCACGGGTCTTTTGTGGATGCATTACTCTGGCACTAACACAGTATCTTAAGCAACAAGCGACATGATGGCGTGACTCGATCCTTTTAATTCGCCATGCTTGTGGTTTTGACACAGAGGTCCATCCAATATGTAGAGGGCGTCATGGACAATGATCATTATAAAATTCTTTGGAATAGGCCCATATACAGCCTCAGAACTATCCAGGCCAACAAACCTGATCTTGGCTCGTGATTTAAAACATAACGCGGGACGCATAGAAACCACATGTACCCCTCGCGATACTGCTACAACTTAAAGTGTTTCTCCCTCGACAACGTATGCCCCAATTGTTGCGAAGAAAAAATGATTATGTAATCTGTTAAATGTATATCGTTGCATAAGTCGATTGAACTAATTATGAGATTTCTTTTCGTAGTTGTTCGTAATTATATCCAGAGACTTGAGTGCCTTAGGTAAATTGAAATTATATTGACGTCACTGTCATAGGTTGGTTTTTGTTTGTTGATTGTGCAAACCATCTTCCCGAGGCAAAGGAGTTAACTGACTATAAAAGTCCAGTTTCCACCCTTGCCGAATTGTCGTACTTTGTCTCGGAAGACACTAGCCTCGGCTTGATCAATATGGCGTCATGTTGCATTGATAGTTTCTCTGGCTGTTTTCAATGACCCTGCAGAATCAATATTGGAAAAAAAGATAAAGATGCAGCTTGGATAAAGTTGGCTGACCTGAAACGTGAATCTGAAGGCTTTCTGTTCGCTGTTCAGGACCAGTCACTTCCGAATTCGAAACCGTCAATGTGCGATTTTGCATAAAAATGTAAATATGAAATATAGATTATGCAATGAATTTAATGAGACTGCCCAACACATCTTCAGTGGATGTTTGTTTGTTTGTTGTTTAACGCCGCAATATTCCAGCTATATGACGGCGGTCTGTAAATAATCGAGTCTGGACCAGACAATCCAGTGATTGACATCATGAGCATCGATCCACGCAATTGGGATTGATGACATGTATCAACCAAGTCAGCGAGCCTGACCACCCGATCCCGTTAGTCGCCTTTTACGACAAGTATAGTACCCAGCAGTACAGAAACTCCTGCCACGCGGCGGCGGCATGGAAACAAACCCGACAATCAAGCAATGGACCAGAAATTCAGTCACACGATTGATAAAAATGATATGTTGATTTTGAAATAAGTCTGCTGTGTTCAAGTTGAGAGATTATGCTACTTATAAGTTTTGTTTGTTTGTTTAACGCCGCACTCCAGCTATATAATGGCGGTCACTAGACCGTGACAAGGGTAAATTCGAGAATCTGTGACAATGCTCATGATGTCAATCACTGGATTATCTGGTCCAGATTCGATTATTTACAGACCGCAGTCAAATAGCTGTAATATTGCTGAGTGCGGCGTTCAACAACAAACAAACAATCTTACGACAAGCATAGTTGTTTTTTTACGGCAAGCATGGGTTGCTGAAGACCTGTTCTACCCCGGAATCTTCACTGGTCTTTTGTGGATGCATTACTCTGGCACTAACACAGTATCTTTAGCAACAAGCGACATGATGGCGTGACTCGATCCTTTTAATTCGCCATGCTTGTGGTTTTGACACAGAGGTCCATCCAATATGTAGAGGGCGTCATGGACAATGATCATTATAAAATTCTTTGGAATAGGCCCATATACAGCCTCAGAACTATCCAGGCCAACAAACCTGATCTTAGCTCGTGATTTAAAACATAACGCGGGACGCATAGAAACCACATGTACCCCTCGCGATACTGCTACAACTTAAAGTGTTTCTCCCTCGACAACGTATGCCCCAATTGTTGCGAAGAAAAAATGATTATGTAATCTGTTAAATGTATATCGTTGCATAAGTCGATTGAACTAATTATGAGATTTCTTTTCGTAGTTGTTCGTAATTATATCCAGAGACTTGAGTGCCTTAGGTAAATTGATATTATATTGACGTCACTGTCATAGGTTGGTTTTTGTTTGTTGATTGTGCAAACCATCTTCCCGAGGCAAAGGAGTTAACTGACTATAAAAGTCCAGTTTCCACCCTTGCCGAACTAGGCTGGTATTATGGAGTTACGTTCTGTCTGGACTAACGAGTCTATGCATAGTCCAATCAAAATCGCGCACTGAAATCAAAATCCGGTTCGTAAACTGTCGTGCAGATTTCGATCGTTTGCAGGATTTGCAAAGCATGTGCATCGCCAATTCGTTGTTAGCAGATATTTTCCAAATCCATTCATGTTTTAATCAAGGTGCTCACGTGATTTGATGCATTTCTCGATGTAAGACCCGTTTCATCACAATATAGATCTTGATTATCGATCAGATCGTCCTGACTGGGCGCCACCATTTTGTGTGAAGCAAACGCAAGTGATACGAGAGGTATAATAGCCACTGGTGGCGCAACGATCGAGCCCAGGAATTCCAGCCTAGTTCGGCAAGGGTGGAAACTGGACTTTTAAAGTAAGTTAACTTCCTTGCCTCGGGAAGATGGTGCAAACTTGCAGAAACAACAACTTTCATCAAGTAAGAGAATAATCAATTA